CCCCCCACAGCTCCATGTGGGGCATCCTCTGGGCGGCAGCTGAACCTTCCTCCCTTTCCTGGGGCCCTCCAAGAACTCCAGCATCTTCCGCAGCCCTGGGGAAGCTCCCTGGCATCAGCGGAGCCTCCAGCGACGGCGCTTCCACACGGAGCTGTGGGCTGCACCATGGGGACTCGAAGTGTCCCGTGTTGCACAGGTGACAGAGGACCCTGTGGCAGCTGACAGGACATTTCGTCTACACACACAGAGGGGCCCCCTCGGGTGCCCCCCACCAGGCGCCCTCGGGCTGAGAGCTCTCCCTGGAGCCGGAGCAGAGGAGGCTCCGGAGCAGCCAGCTGGGACACGAGGGCAGCGGCTCCCGGGGCCCAGGTCCCACACGGAGACGCTGGCCCAGGCAGCGCAGCCGGAGGGACACGCGCGGCTTCCGCAAACGCCGCTCAGAAGAGTCGAGCCCGAGCCTTGAGAACAGATTTTTATTGTAACAAACGTGGAGACAGCGGAACGGTTCATTTGAGCTCCTTCACAGCCAGACCTAGGGAGGAGGAGGAGGAGACAAGTTACCGGTTTGGAACATGCAGCTCCTTGGGAGCCCCGGGCCCCTGGTTGGGACAGGAACACGGCCCTTCTGCAGGGGACAGGACACTGAGGGCTGTAACTGGGGCCAGCAGCGGCTCTCCCTGCTGGCAGGGCAAGCTGCAGAGCCTTGTGGCTTCCTGGGGACATGGATTTTATCAGCATCGGGAAATTAGAGGGGCAGGAGCAGCATTTGCTCAGGCAAATAACAGCTGGGGCATCCGTTTCATATTGAGGCCAATAAAAGCAGCAAATGAGAAGGGCCTGGACATGCAGGCGATGCAGGAGGCAGGGGACACACGCTGGGACAAGGTGGGGACGCAGCGGCTCCATCAAGACCCCAGCGCCGACCTCATCACGGAGATGGATTTACCCCCCAACCCAACGCCTGATCCCGGAGGCCCCGCAGCCGCCGATACCTGGGGGCAGCGACTGCTTCAGCTTCTCGGCCTTCTCCTTGTCCGTGATGACCAGGGTGTAGAGGTACCGGCTGCAGCGCACCTTGAACTTCACATTGTCCTTGTTCTTCTTGATCTTCACGGCTGCGGAGGGAAGGAGGGGTGAGCTGTGGCCCTGGGCTCCCCAGCCACGGCCGTGCAGCAGGAAGGAGCCTCTGTGCACGGGGGAAGGCTGCAGGGCAGCCCCATTCTTCCTCCTTTAATGAGGAGGAGGATCAGAGCCCTGCCTTGCCCATCTGCACTAAGGAAAATTCAAGTTGGGAATTTTCCTGCGACAATGGCTCCTGTGACAGGCACTGCAGCAGGAGCAATGGGATCCAGCTGTGCTGCCAGGACACTGTGGGTTTCTAGAGCAAACGGCTGCATTTCCAGGGGCTTTTCTCCCTCCTTGCCCAGACGTGGAGCCAGCAGCCCTGTCTGTCACACTCCAGCGGAGCGCGACCACGCACACCAAGCTGCCCCTGGTCACTACCCCCTTCTGCAAACGACGAGCAGCGCCGGAGCTTGCAGGCACCCTCCATGCAGCACGGGGAGCTCCCCGGGGCCACGGCCAGCGCTCTGGGTCTCCCTAACACCCACTTACAGCCACTTCAGTGTTGGCCATTTCCTTCAGAGCCCCAGGGGTTCTTCTCCCTTCTCCCTCCTCTCCCTTTCCTTGTGGGGTACAGGGTGACAAGAATTCAGCACTGCAAGAGCTACCAAAGCTCTGCCAAGCCCAGCTGGGAGCCCTTGCTGAGCGCTTCTGCACCGCGCGGTGCCAGAGCAGCCCCCAGCAGCAGGTTTCCATCCTTCAAGCACCTCATCCCCATGACAACTGCATCCCAACAGGCAAAAGAACCGGGCAAACCCCTTATGTGTGCTTAAATATGGAGTCAAGACACTTGCGGCTTTTAACAGTGCTGTTTGTGTCTGCAACAAAAGGAAACCCCAGTTTAGCGCGATTCTGGCACTCCGCGGACCCCCTGCACTCACATTTCGCGTCCTT